GTCATCTGCGCTGGACATGGTACTGGCCAAAATCGCCGCCGACCCCAACTCTGCCATGAATGGCAACATCAGCTACGCCGAATTCACCAACTCATCCAGCCGCTGTCTATCGCCATTCACGCCTTTCTCTGCATCGTCCGGTAGCCTTATGCCACAGAGTTTCATGTTTGGCCATATGGGCATGCAGAAAGCCGGACCGGGTACCGCGGTGCTCGGTCAGTCTGCCGGCGGTTGTAGTCCGTCGTCGCAGCTGATGACCGGCCCCATGAGCGGCGGACTCGGCAATCTGCAAGTGCTTCAGTTCCTGGAAAATCTCCAAACCACTCTGCGTAATAGCGGCTACAGCGAACCCGCTGTTTCCGACATTATGCAGGCGATGCAGGTGTTGACGAAGTATAATGTGTTGGGTCTTGGTTTAGGATTCGGTTTGGCAGCTGTCGGAAATATAAATGACGGCTCACCATCGTCCGCTGTTGGATCCGCCTTTGCCGCCACTGCCGGTATGCAAGCAAATTCGTCTTCGGGCAGCTTTTACAACCCGAACTTCAAGTCATCCGGCGATTCACCGCACTTCGCCTCTGGTAACAAGCAACAGCAGTTTGTCGGACGACCAAATTTCAGTGTTTCCATGTACGGAAGCAGCAAGATGGGCTACGATGCGCCGATGCTCGATCATAACGACTCATCACTTGGCAATGGGTCAGGACGCAACGAAGTCTTCGGTTTGGATTTAGATAATCTGGCGTCAGAGTTCCGATACGGAGAAAGAATGAATCTTGAGGAGGACGGGGTCAATTATGCGGCTTCGTTGGTCAAGGTGTTCTCTGACGAGAAGAACAAATTGCAACTAGAAGTTCCTGAGAACATTGTCGGCGCCATATTGGGGAAGCAGGGAAAAACGTTGTTGGACATTCAGCACTTTACTGGTGCTAAGGTGGAGGTGTCTAAAAGAGGCAATTACGCCCCCGGTACTCAGAATCGTATAGTCACGCTATCCGGTACAACCGAAAGCATTCAAAAGGCCCGTCTGCTCGCCGAACGCAGTATCAACCGTGAACAAATGCGTCGGGAGATGCGTCAGCGTAGTGGTTGATTGTTTCTAATGTCGGATAATGGACTTGTTGATAAATTAATGACACATTTTTGAACATAACATTTCGAGCAAGATCCTCGATTGTCGTTGATTGTCCTTTGTCAGTTTATGTTTTTTAGTCCTTTGTTGAGGTGTCTGTCTAAGTAAAACGTTTATTTATTCGTGTGTACATTGGTGATAAATATGTCAGATTTAGGCTACAGCACAACACAGCAAAAGGATTTCGAGTAATTAATTTCTGAAATAATGATGAACTGTTTTCCTCTAAATGAAAGAAAGACGGACGTTTCTTGATCGGTGACCTCAATAAATGGAAAAATTGGACGTGCAATTTGACGAGAGGCAGATAAGCTCGACCATCATAGGCAACTGATGGCGACATTAAGAGCCAGGTAACTTTATCGTATTCAGAAGATTTCAATTTATGATTAGAGTCAAGCTGCGGGAATTACGGGAGACAAAAAACCGCATTCACCTGAGGATGTTGCCCAATGAAATGAACAGCAGTTCTGAAAATTGGCGGTGGCTACCGATGCTGCTTTGTCTTCATCAAATAGCGTTAAACAGCGAGGCAGTACGGGTTATCGTTCAACACCCTGAAAGTGGAGCTTCGCAGCAGTAGTTTATCTGCGTAACACCAAAACAATCTGATCAGGTTGAATCTGATCTAACGAAATCTCAAGGATAACTTAAACATTAACATACGAGTAACTATTCTGAACCTGAATGCGTAGCTACATATATTAGTAAAAGCGGTCACACAATTGCAGACAACGTAAGATCATCATTCGTGCATCACAAGGTTGAAGAGTGCCGCTAAAAGGAACATGGAAAACGGCAAAGGAGGGAACAGATATTCTACACTGAGAGAACATACGGTAAAATGGGCTCGTATGTTTGAGTGATGAAATGTGAGCGCAGAGTAGTGCGAAAGAAACCGCCAAAAGAGGAAGATCAAAAAATGCTTCGATATAAGTATATCAGTGCGCAAACAGGGGTGGTCTGCTATCAGTGTGGAAAAGAACGAGTTGGTGAGGAAAGGTAAGATCAGAATTTTGCTGATTGTCTCTCGCACATCGTAGTACATGTTATATATAAAAAATGCAGGAAGAGAGTATCATGTCTTGGAGGACGAGGTTAAACAATGAACCCACCGATGAAGGAACTGTAAAACTATGGCTAATGCTTGGCTGGCAAATGTTTTAAATCAGAGTTCAAATCATAAACGACGTTTCAGATCGGTCCCTACTTCATTTTTGCATCGAGGTTACGACGAACAAATGTTAAAGTTTACGTATCTTCTGAATCTGTCAACAGTTCTTGGAGGCCGGAGTCAGCAGCCTACAACAACGGTGCGGAAGCATATACAACATCAATACGTGATGAAACGTATAGTATCGTCAATCCGTTTCATTTATTTTGGTTATAAGTACATATAGAATAAGGTACATGAATTCTTTATGGTGGAGGTGACATGATGTTTGGTGGGTCACAAACGGGAAGGGTGCGCAAGATGCTCGTTAATTATTAAATATGATACGCATGTATATAATAAGTAGAAGAAGAGTGTTACTTCACAAAGGATGAGGTTATTGAATGAATGTTTGCCTGACGATTGCTTTAAATCAGATTTGAAATCATAAGCGAAGTTTCTAACAGGTCCTTATTTCATTTTTGGACCGAGGTGATACTGCCGTAAGGCTACATACGGACAAATGTTCAACTCTAAAGATCTGCTGATACTGTCGACAGTTCTTGGAGGATGGAGGTAGCAGCTACAAACAACACGGTACAGAAGCGTGGACAATAGGCATTGATGACGGAGTTCAACGGTGACGTTTTTGCTTAAATCTTCAACGCATAAAGCCTCAATATACATCCAAAATAATGACTATATATGATTCAATCGGGTACTCCAGCTATAAAGCAACGACAAACACGTTCACAGTGCACATCTATGCAAGAACTGAATGGTACTAAAGATTAGGGATGCCGTCGATCGCCGCCCGTTATGCAACGTGGAAGTTCAACGTGCGCAACTTACACAAGGACTTTCATTCGTGTACTTACCTTTCCTCCTTTTTTCATCACTGTTGTCTTAGTTTAAGATTACACCTAGCCCCATAGCTATTAGGTGCGGTAGTAGTATAGATCGCACCATAATGGCATGAACCAAACCTGACAGATTAGACTGAAGGTATAGTTAGAAAAAACAAGCGGTAGAAAAAATGGCTGCTTTGGAATAGATACGCAGATCTTATAATATGCGAATGTTCTCACAGTCGTTAGTCGTCAAGAGGTGTAGATATTAATGAAGTAGTGGTTGCAACAATAAATGCGAACAAACCCAAATTTTGATGTTACAAATTGTAATAATGGTATAAATAAAGAAACACGTTAAATTAAATCGAGGTCCGATGTAATGGCTTATCGTATCGAGTTGACTCCGTTGACACCTGACGCCATTGCGCCTCTTGACCTCTTTTGTGAAATTCACAATGAATAAATACTAACGTAACTTTTTAAGTTCTGTCAATTTGTAGGACTCCCGCGTTGAATGAATATTTCACCTTTTCGACTCACCCTATTCTCTTAACTCAAAATCCGTTGGTTGTTGTCTTGAGAAGTTGATTTCTTACAGAAAAATGCAGTTCTACTCTGTATTTCTCACAGATGAGGAATATGCCAAAGTGCATATAGCTGTTGCTAACAAACGCACTATAGCAGATCCTCTTTCAGCCAACGAATTCATATCATGAATTCCCTGTAAACTTCCTGATACGGAAATTCATCGTTCCCAAGTACTACTGGAATACTGGCAGTGTCATCTGGTAACAGGCTGTTTTTCCTCTGAGGTCGATAAATGAGTACCATTGTGAACGACGGAAAACTGGAAGTAAACTACGCTTCACACCTAGCCACTGTTGACTCTGCGATTAGAGTAAAGTATTCTTGAGTGATAGCATGGAAAAGTGGATCAGCATCCAAAGACAAATTTCATGAAATGCGCCAAGAATGCCTCCGTCTCGAAAGATTAATGAATGGGCTGTAAAATAGGTAGAAAAAGTTTTTCTCCTTCCTTCCAAATGTACTGTACTTACGAACTACGGTAATTCTGACATGTGGGTGTTTTCACTTTTCTTACGCCCTTTGACTAATTCACAGATATTATGAAGTCCTGAAACACTTTAACATCAGTGTATTGCTAATTAAGCCTTGCTGACTTTCCTGTGATCTTGGCCTTTGTGTTCAGTTGAATCCTGGCAAAAAACTCAGTGTAGCTTTAGAGTAGTGTATGTTCATTTGGTGATTATGTAAAGCTGCTTACTCCATTTTCACTTATGGAAAATTTTACGCTGTCGCGCTGCCAGCTTGATGAGGCCAAAAATACGTGGTTGCAAACCGTTACTCGATCGGCCGAGTTCAACGTGTAGGTGGATATATTAAACACGAGCTAACAGCTGTTAAGATAAACCCTTGCTGTACAAAACACGTCTTATTCACATAGCGAAAACAAGCGGATAACAGGGAAATAAAATCGCTAGAGACAAGATCGTTACAAATCGCTATATCGCTGCAATGAGGTCACGGCTGTCGTCGGGTGGGCCTCAACGTCGTCCGTAACGCTTGGAGATATAGCGCTTGTAAAAGAAAGTCGGCGGCTTTCCGACGGGCAGCAGGTCAGACTTGAACACTTGCTTGTAGATCAGGTGTGCCATCATGTACCAGGCGATCAGTGCAGCCATGGACAGAAAAACGGCGCCAGCGATCTTGAAGCCGGCGATGCCCACGAACTCGTCCACACACAAGAAGCTGATGCCGAACACCAACGTCAGGAACGTCAGGGCCATAGCCATGCTGATGCCGAAGGCGCCAACCAACATGATGACGGAGAAGATGCAGAAAGCCAGCAGGAAGAAGCCGGAGTCAGTGGCACTCGCCGGACTGATACCGTAGTGGTTGCCGATGACCATCAGTCCAAAGCTGATCCAAAACGCTCCGTAGCTGCCAAATGCGGTGAGGCCAAAGTTATCGCCGCTGTAAAACTCCAGCACACCTGTGAAATACATAAAAAGCGGTTCAGAGGTGAATTATGGAGCATATCTTTTCAGGACAATTTATATGAACCAAAATTTGTTCATAACCACGTGCAACCTAAAAACATTTACTGAAATTGATGGAGAAATAGCATCTCGCGGAGAGGTCTGACTACGCGAATGGCGACTTGCCGAAGAAGTCACCAAATATGTGTACCTTAACAATCATGTGGACTCCATGAAAACCAGGAGAAAAAAGAAAAGGAAAGAAGAATCAAAAATATGAGTTTTTTACTAATAATTAGCTAATCAAAATATGGCTGCATAATCTGTGAATTTATTTCGATGATGTGCAAATTAGCTAAAAGAAAAATGCGTGAACGGCATGAGCATTAGAGCCAGGCCAACGTCATTAGAACTGCGTTCTAACCCAGTGAACTCCCTGGCATGCTCTGAGGTCCTTGGACCAGTCTTCTTTCGCAGCTAACAGTGAGGTAGACCGGTAGGTAAGGGAAAAGGCGAAAATCCCTCCGCATTTGTCAGACAACCATGAACAGCACGTCAATGATTTTAAACGACGTACCTGCTATGATTTGGCACAGACCGCCAAATACGATTCCCAGCCAAATGATAGGTCCTACGCCCATCCACTTGAAGTTGTGACATTGCAACAGCAATGTGGTCAGTCCGAAGCCGGCTAATCCGAGTGTAGCTGCTTGTGCGTATTTCGGTTTTTCGGCTTCGCGTTTCCCTATCGTTTCTTGTACAAGATTTCGAACATATTCGTCAAGATCCTACAATAAAAAATTACTAATCAATTTCATGTGTGCTGAAGGACACGAGTTATGAAACTCATTTATGAGCAGCGCTGCGACTTGATGCACAATCTGAGGCAATTATCTGATGGAGTTGCGCAAAGAGTACATTTCGAATCAGCTCTTTTACACTTTCGAGTTTCCCAAAAAAAACTTCTGGAAAATGTTTGAACCTTTGTTAAACAACTGTCATGAGTGAATTAAAGATTTTTAATTTCAAATTTATGTCTTGCAATGTTTCGCCAAAGAAAGGCATAAGGTACGTGTGTACACAAAATAAATACGAACTAAATATCGGTTTAAGCGTTTAAAATGCCTACGGAAGAAACGGGTGCAGGAAACCGCCAGAGATTAATGGACAGGGAAAAGCCATAGTGAAGATAGTACTCGCAAATGTTTCGTGGAGATGATTTCTGCCGGATATGGAAAATGCTGTAAACCGTAGACAAAGTTTATTTGAATAGTATGGTTTGTTCACGCACCTCTCATACTCTAGCCGAAACGCTATTCAAAAATAGAAACTTCGAACATTCCTAGCTCTATGAAATATAAGAAATGTTATATGTTTTGACATATATATTAATAGTTAAAATATTATAATGTTTTTAGGCAGTCACTTGACCATCTAGGACACTGAAACCAACTAATAAATAATTTATTTTGATCAAGATGACATGATCAACATCTCAACGCATAGAGTGAAATAAAAAAATTAAATTAAATTAAAATCAATTACTTTTAAGAACAGTTCAAAAGGCTTATATCAGACATACTGCAGCAGCTTGAGAGAAGAAGCATAGAAGTCACACTGCGAACGAACGTGTAAAATATAAAACTTCTACGATCAGGTGCAATAACGAAGACCCAGGTAATACTAAATGGTGAAAAAGGGAAGAAGTGGAGAAATAAATGTACTCGAGCCACGTGCTCAACATGTGAAATGAACAGAGAGAGGAGATCCTATGGAGAAAGAGTGCCGGTCGGCGAGCATTTCATTCTGTCGACGATGTCCCCCTGTGCAACATCAGGAAAGATAGTCGTACCAACATCTTTAATTCAATCACCCTACTGGCCGTGTCTTACGGCCGTGGGACATCCTCCTCAGGAAGGCCGAAAAATGTCAGCTATTTATCACAGAATGGGCCACGGGCAGTAGAATGTTTGAAACCTCACTTCGCGATCACGTCTCCATGACAGTGATGAGGTAGCGGACGAGAGTGAAAGATATAGCCCACTCTGGGGTGGGCACGTAAGTCATCTGACCGACGGACAATGGCCAGCGATGATCGTCGACTGGTATCCTCGCGGGAACAGTAGGCCTCTTGGTCGCCCACCACGGCAGTCCGTTGATTTTGTGTGTGAGTGTGTGTGTGTGTGAGACCGC